GCTCCATCAGGGTATGTTCTATAGGGTTGCATTTTTTGCGGATTTCTTTCCGCAGACGAGAATCTGACAGTCCTCTGACGAAGTCAGCCCGTACCATTTCCTCGTCCATCCCGGAGCGTTCGGCTAAGTACGTAAAACGTTCAACATATCTGGCCAAGGTCTCCCGAGGCTGCTGCGTGTATTCCTTTATTAAACGGAGGCATTGACCTGGTGCAATGTGATCAAACCTATCGAGGAATTTCCTCTGGAAGGCTGCCCAATTGGTGAAGAGGTTATGTCCATACCACTCAAACGCGGTTCCGACTAACCTTCCGGGAATTCGTTCTCGGAGCAACTGATCCGACCAGCCCTGGGCTTTCAAGGCAGCTAGCCAGGTGCGAGGGTCGGTGTCGTCTTCGGAGAAAATGGGAACTTCGGAAGGAGGAGGTACAAAGTACAGGGGATAATTGGCCATCCCCACGTGGTTGTCGCCGTCGTTTTCACCCCCAGTTCCGGGTTCCACCATCGCGGGAGGCGGGTTTCGAGCCCAGCCTCTCGCTCGGTTTTGATTGCTATTTGCGGGCCTCCGTCGACGGGGAGCCAGCCTACTCAAAAATGCAAAAAATCTAATGAAAAGATCAAAAAGAAAAAAGGAGAAACTTTAAAACAGGGTAATCGTCCTAGGAAAACTTCGGAGCCGAAACGAATCAGCTCTCATACCAACCTCACGCCCCCTCGCGGTGTCCCGTACAGGGTCACCGATCAGAGTTTTAGGAGGGGCGTGGCCGAGGATTTTTGGCCGTAAGGGTTGAGTCTCCCGGACGGAACGGGAGGCCCTCGTTTCGTGCCAGAGGTTTTCCCCGGAGTCGAACTGTCGCCTCGAAGTCCCGTGGGGGTCGGATCACTCCGAGACGATAAAATCAAAAAGGTTTCCGCAAAAACGAACTGCCGTCATGCATCAGGACAGGAAAAGGCATAAAGGGGTAGGGGGCCATGGCGGCGGAAGACAAAACTTCGACCGTCAGGGGTTTGGGGGATAGGTGGTGGGTCCGAAGCCTTCAGGCCTCATCCTCGGTTCTCACGAAGTGACCGAACCTTCGGGTCCTTGCTGTAGAGGTGGTTGGTTCGAGGCTGTCAAGCCTCAGCGTCGGACTTGCAGAGTCCGCGCGAAAGTCTCCGGGAGGGTAACGTGGCGGGAGGACTCGTCGGCATCCGAATTCAAAATTGCGCGGGCAGCGTCCCCGCACTACGGGAAAGCTCGGGGAAACATGTCGCTCCCTCTTAACCCAGGACCAGCCGTCGCCAAGAACACGAGTCCCCCTGGCGACACCAGCGACAATCAAACTGTGGCCGCCACTCGGGGTGAGCGGCCGACCAGGGCAACACCGTTAAGCCCGTGTAAGGCAATATTAGAGTCAGGAAATCAAAACGATCAATCAGGACAAACCCGTTCCCCCTTATATCACACGCCCGAGGCGGGTCTTGCCAACACACTTGCTCCGTCCGCCTCAGCGCGCGCCGTACGTCCGCATCGCAGTAGACGCTGTCGTCGTCTGTGATGGGGAAGGTCGGTAGCGAGATGAGACGGTCGGAGGTACGCGATGAACACGGGCAAGATCCCGCGTTCCCGGTCATCCGAACCAACACCGAATCCATACAACAATCGACGCAATTCTTCTCTCTCAAAAGGGGGTGCATCGAGGGAAGATGAACTTTAAGCTTTCTCCCCTTGCGGGGGCGTCGACCGTCCGCGCGAACGCAGGCAGTTGACGTCACCGGTACGGGGAGAAGAAGCTCCAAGAGCGATGACTATCAGTTCAAAAAGGAAGGCAAGCGAGCGAGCGAGCGAGCGAGCGAGAGAGAGAGAGAGAGAGAGAGAGAGAGAGAGAGAGAGAGAGAGAGAGAGAGAGAGAGAGAGAGAGAGCTACGGCAAAACCGCGCGCGAGCACGGGAAAGGCCGCAGAGGGGAGGGGAACAACCGGATCAACACACTCGTACTCCTAAGCAGACAGTCCCCCAGTTCAGTTTCCCCATTCCCCCCCAGACGAGTACATACATACATACATGCATGCAATCAACAACCCGTGACATGACATCTAATCATCCATGGACCTTCGACATCACTCATGTGCACAACCAGCTCCCATCACTCGGGGCTTCACACACACGACATGCATAGACAAAACAGCAACGGAGATAAAAGCAAGTCCTTGTACACAAAAATTTCAATTAGCTGCCGCCCCCAGGCGCAGCCTTCAAAACTCCCCAAGACCACCGACCACCATAGCCACAAGGCCCTGCTGCAGCCGGCGTCCAATCCCCACCACTGCTCAGTCCCTCCGACTGCTTCACCCCGAGACTATCGCGGGTCCACCCCACGTCGTCACTCCGCCCGTCCTTGGGCTCGTCGAGCCTGTTCGGCGCCGCGGACTCTTGCGTATAGCTCGCACAGCATTGCAGCCGAGATCAAAGAGAGAGAGAGGAGCGGGTTGCGCAAATTTATAGCGCGGGAGGCGGCGGGTTGTCAGCGCGAGGTGCGGGCAGCGCAGGTTAAAGATGCGCAGGACAGGAGGAAGGTGGGGAGTTAGGGGGTTCGACCCGCGGGATGGCATGGTCCTACGTGATTGGGGAGCATTGTCGTCACATCGTGGACAACGGACTCCGTATGCACTGTTCCCAGCTCTCGTGTATTAACAGCAATGAGATCATTTGTACGGTTGCGATCATGTCCACAGACAGAGCTGTGCCTGACGTCTGATGCGCAGGTGATTGTACCTCATGTCTGATGCACATGCAATCCTGCAGCAGCATAGAAGTTCTCGCCACATTGAGGACAGCAGACTCGGTATGCACTGTTCCCGACTCGCGTCTATTGACAGCAATGGGATCATTGTGTACGATTGCAAGCATGTCCACGGAGCACATATCCGACTCCCGAAAACTATAATGAAATTCGAAAAAGAAACTGATATGATATCTTCATACTCCCTGGTTTTATAAGAATTCAATTACTAAGCTTTCATCGATTCATCGAAAAAAGGTTTGCTAGAAGAATCCCAAACAAAATTGCTAGTAATCCGAGACTCTAGTAGAGAACTAAGGTATTTCGTGAACGGAAAAAATATAAGATTACAGGAAGCAAGTTTCAGTGCCTTGCGTGTACGATTGCAAGCACGTCCTCAGAGCTGATGTCTGACTTCCGCCGAGGGCGCGGTGATCATTCCGTTAAAGGACCAGCTCTGAGGATGTGGCTGGGTTGACAACTCGTCAACCCAGCCGTTGATGTTGAGACCTTCCTCCAAAAGCTGGTGGTGAAGATTGGATACGCCTGGGTTGACGAGTCCTTCGAAACGGAGGGAGGAGGAGGAAGGGGAGGGAGGAGGAAGAGGAGGACGAAGGGGAGGGAGGAGGAGGAAGACGAAGAGGACGAGGATGACGACGACGAAGAAGAAGAATGGGAAGTGTGCAACCGAAGTATGATTTTCTCGAGGATGCTGCTAACGGAGTTGGTTGGTGGTGATGATGCCAGATGGGTGAGGACCAGTTTGCGTAGTAGGCAGCTCTCAACTATTTAGGATCCTTCCTTGCGGGTAACCCGTAGGGTTTGCCTGCAGTCGCTCCTTCACTCTATGGGGCACACATTCCGCAGCAGCCGCCATACTAGGAGGGTCCACACTATCACACCTTGCACCCATTTCAACCTCAGGCACATTGTTGAGAGAGAGAGAGAGAGAGAGAGAGAGAGAGAGAGAGAGAGGACTGGGCTAAAAGAACAGAACAGAGGAATGACAAACTTCAGACGGTTCTGAATCAATACTCTCCAATGGAGCAGCAGACGTCAGTCAGTATTTCGGTTGTACCTCGGCTACCAGGGTGGCCCGGGACCACTTGCCCCCGGACGGGCCAAAATCAAATCAAATCAAATCAAACAACAAATATAAAAGATTCCGGGAGTGGACTGTGCATGCAACGCGTCCAATTCTCGCAGTTGTGGTTGCTCCATCCAATGGCACGTGCAGACCGATGTCACAGGCTACATGGGTCCTACACCCTAGGAGCACAGCGGCATGCTGACCGCAATTGTATATCCATTGTCGTTCCGACCCCCATCTACACATTGGACATGAGTGCAATTGTATATCCATTGTCGTTCCAACCCCCGACTACACATCAGGGTGCCGCACATGAGTGCAACGTTGACTATCATAATATAGACATCGAGTGCAATTGCTAATCCAGTGCCGTTCCAACCCGTCTACAAATTGGACATGAGACTATTATGAGTGCAATTGTATATCCATTGTCGTTCCGATCTTCGACTACACATCAGGGTGCCACACATGGAAAGACGGGTCAGAACGACAATGGATATATAATTGCGGTCAGCATGCCGCTACGCTCCTACGGTGTAGGAGCCATGCAGCCTGTGACATCGGTCTGCGCCGTGCCATTGCATGGAGCAACCGCAACTGCAAGAATTGAATGCGGTGCCTGCAGAGTCCACTCCCGATCCGGTCCTGCACGTTCTGTAGGGGTTAATTGCTCAAGGCAAGGACCAGGGAAGTCCACTACCGAACCGGTCCCATGCGGTGTGTGTGTGCATATGTCTGTGAGATGGAAAAGAAAACTTTTTTCCTCTCTCAGCTCCATTTCAGTGATGCAGCCAAAATGTACACATTGAGAAAGGGGATCCATGTGTTATTATTTTTCGTTAAAATTGGAATCAATTGCCATTACACAAAGCCAACGCAAGTAAGGATGACACGTAACAGAGAAAGGAGACTAGCGTGGCCCCTACGCAAGTAAGGATGACACACACAAGCTGAGAAATGGTCCAAATTTTCGAAAAAGAGTATACTGTTTCGCGGTCAACCCCAAAAAGGCATAAACAGAGCCAACATCAATCAATCGGCATTACAGGCCCCTTTGGAAGAAGAAATATATTTTGGCAGACTTTCACAGATAGGGTTAATTAAGAATGCAAATTCGATCGATACGAAAGCAGACATAAGCATCAATCAGACACTGAGCGTTATGAACAACATATGTCAATGGAAAAAAGCATACTCGATTGTACACATAATCAAACCGAAAACCAGCTTAAAAAAAACAAGGAGGAAAAAAAACGAAAACCATACTGCTATTGAATCTTCTAACACTAACTAACAAAATAATCGGACTCGGCAGGGTCAGGTCTCCACCCCCCATTAGCTCTGAGAGGACCCGAGATGACGTACCTCCCTCCTGGGGTCGTGCCTCCCTCCTGGAGAACCTTGCCTCTTATCTAACAGCGAAACGGACAAGACATAACAGCAGCCGCCATAGCCGAAGTGTAACCTCCACTTTCGATCTATCTTCTTCAACCGAAAACTATACCCCTAATTTCTCACCACACGAGGGTCAGGTCTCCAACCCCCTTCAGGCTTCAGCATCTGGCCACTCTCGTTACCGACCAGGGTCAGGTCTCCAACCCCCTTCAGCTCCAACAAGACCAGAGATGGCGTGCCTCCCTGGAGTAGCTTGCCTTTATCGGACAGCGAAATGGACAAGACATAACAGCAGCCGCCATAGCCAAACTGCAACCTCCACTTGTGATGCATCTTCTCCAACTGATAACTACCCGTAATCCTCACCGGATGTGGACGCCTCTGGCCATATTCTTGGCCAAAAAGCCGGCGGATTCCTCTTCGACCAAGGGCGTGCTGACACCGGCACTTTCTTAAATGAAGCAGATGCGGCAGTGATGTCAAAACGTTGATCCATCTGGCTGCAATCGCATCTAAAGATTACACTAGAACGTCCTAGTGTGAGTACACGCCCTAAAAGAGCACGCGACGCTCTCTCTCCACCAGTCAAGTTAGAAGAGCACATGATGTTCTCTTTCCTGCACCTTGGCCAACTCGCACCTTCATCATCTTAGTGTTGCCGAAGTGATATCAAACAGCCCCAGCCATGGTATCATCACAAAAAGATCACAGTATTTCAACGTCATGTTCACAGAATAAAAGTCCCACATAGCATTTCCAATACTACACCATCAACCACGCGGACATCTTTCCGTTCGCAACCTTGCATCGCGCTTCGAGATGCGTCGGATTTCAGCGATCAGCCGACAAGTCGGTAGTAAAAAAATTAAACCATAAACTTGGGAACTCGCACCAGTCTCGACCGTACGCAGTCTTCAGGTATGACCACATGCAAGCCAATGGCAAAAGACGATAAACTTTGAAACCTCCTGGCTAGAACCGTAACACAACAGTGGACACGCCAGAAATGTGCGGGGACGCGAAATCGTCACCCTTCGCACCAGTCTCGACCGTACGCATCTTCAGGTATGACCACATGCATTGCGGGGACGCGAAATCGCCACAATCCATCTCAGTTATCTATACTATACGCAGAAAGAACAGCTTCCCTGTTCTGACATAGCAGTAGCAGAAATGACAAAGTGCAGCCAATCTGTTTTTAGCGCATGCATGAGGAGAGAGAAAACACCCTTCCATGCGGACGCCAGTCCCGCCACCATGGAGCAAGACGCAATATGTGCCCTCGAAGAACTGTCCTGATGCCAGTAGCAGTCTGGCTGTCCTCCGCTTTAATCCTGTTTGCTCTTGTTCGGCGCTCAAAATCCATCTCGGCCGGCCTCGGGCAGAGCGGCTAGGTTGGAGAGCCGTGCGATGGGCAAACATTGTGAGGCACCACCACACCCTTCGATCTTAGTCCCAGCCATGCCCCGGAAAAATATCCGATCCGCCCAGCTTTCAACCAGTCTCCAGCTGCCCATAACAGGCATAACTACGAAGCAGCCATCCCTCCTTTCACCACAGCAGACATTCCCATTGGCATTCGCAAACAACAAGCACCATAGAATCATCGATCCCAAACAACGAAACAGTACTAACCTGTGTTTTGCTGTGGTGAGCCAGCCAGCGCGCAAAGCGTGCACTCAACATACTGCAAGCAAATAGATCTCCAATGTTCCTCATCTGCATCATCCATCGGACAGCGATACCTAGTACCAGTACGACAGACAGAATGCCTACATGCCTCACAATGCTCACGTTGCCATTCTCCCTACTGCACCTTGGGCAACTCGCACCTTCATCATCTTAGTGTTGCTCAAGTGACCCAACCCAGCCCACACTTTTCACTCTTTCCCCATTGCAGGCACCTTTCACCACTTCCAAGTATTCAACCTTGAACCACCCACCACCACTTCTCTCTCTCTCTACCCCTCATTCTTCCTTACGTTTTTGTGATATGAGGGGCAGAGAGAGAGAGAGAGAGAGAGAGAGAGAGAGAGAGAGAGAGAGAAGTGGTGGTGGGTGGTGAAAGGTTGTGTAGAGGCAGTTTCCAAGAAGACTTCGAAGTGGTGAAACAACCCTCATCCCCACATGCCCAATCTCTCTCTCTCTCTCTCTCTCTCTCTCTCTCTCTCTCTCTCTCTCTCNTCTCTCTCTCTCTCTCTCTCTCTCTCTCTCTCTCTCTCTCTCTCTCTCTCTCTCTCTCTCTCTCTCTCTCTCTCTCTCTCTCTCTCTCCCCTAACCACCCCTCCCTCCTGCCCTCCATCCCACTTTGATGTCAACAGGAGGATGATTCACATTGATCAATTTCTACTTGACACGACCAGCACTCTTCGATAGTGAATCTCATTAGCCACAGCAAAAACTGACTTCATGCCAAGCCCAGAACTGTCATTACACTCGTCTATCACATATCACACATACCACTACTCTCATAACATCTTCCACTACTTCACCTATTGCGTGCCAATTAATAGACCCCCGGCTCCCCGTTGCCGAGCGTCAATTTGATTTCCTTTCTTAACTGGCCCATGATGACAATGAACAATGCCATCAATCCCAACCTAATGTTGTGCATTACACATCCCCCTGCCCTGTCCACACAGCGTCCATCCTCCACGTCTTACCTTGAGCGAAAGCAATGTGCGCTCTGCTCTTGCGTGTGAAAACCGTGCCAAGTTTCATTCTCAGGGAAGTACTGAATTGTCCTTTCCTGCGCCTTGCACACACGGACCTCTCACGCTTCCCAACTTCTGTGAAAGACAGAATGCTCAGGAGAAGAAGCCAGTGATGTTTCAGCGAACATTCACGATGGACCCCAGTGTTGTTTCACCGGACATTCACGATGACGCCCATTGTTCCCTGATGCTGTGCTGCTGCCTGTCGCAAACGGGTACACATTTGTCAAAGAGAGACCATCAAACAAATCCACACTTCCAATTGCAAGATATGGAAGTTTCCCAAGTAGGAATACTTCCTTCTCGCTTGCGTACCTCCCGCATTTATTGTCCGATGCTATGGAAGAATATACTGTCTTCGTCTATATAGCTTCAGCGGTGAAGATAGCTGCGCGTTCAGAATGCTAATCAAAACCCGAGAAATGCTCCTGTATGACTACATCTGTGGTGGCAAGGGCTCCCTGGCGACGACGATACTTTCACAAGTCCGGCGACATGAGAAATTGTGTCCATATTTGGATTTTCCAAAGTACGACCGTACGGCAATGCAGCAGCACGAGGAAGCGTATCCATAATGATGTTGGTTTACTACAGTTGCCTTTGATGGCGATGATTGCAGTAGTTCATGTTCGCTAATGCGAAACCAAAGAGCTCTGCCGGTTGTTAAAGAATGCGGTGCCGACGGCAATGCCGCAGCACGAGGAAGCGTATCCATAATCGAATTTGAATGAATGAAAACTTCAGGTTTCCACTTAGGAAAGCTTGGTTACTTAGTGATTCGTTCTCCTGCCTTTCGTCTCCTCCGCTGTGGAAGAATCGCCTTTCTT